CCGAAACTATGTCAGTGACTACCGACTGCCTGTTGTTGGAAACTAAAACACTACGCGCTTTCTCACGCTTACACACACTCTCGCGACCAACAAAGCGTTGGCAATTAAAAAGCAAAACTTGCTAATACAAAAGTAAAAAATTTATGTGGAAAATGTGCAACTGAGTTTTCACTGGACGCGTTTGCGATTGCCGCTTATCGACGACTGCTGTTGCGGCTACTGCTGATTGATCACTGTGGCACAAGTTGCAGCGGCGCGTTGTCTTGTTTGGCTGGCGAATGTGCGCGCGTATGTATGCACATATGTATGTATGTATGTATGTATGTAGGTATGTCTGGCTGTGTGAGTGCGCTCAAGTGGAAAATTCATAAATGTTCGTCTATGAAATTGTATACGTTTTTCGCATATTTTCGGTGTTTTTCTCTTTTTCGCCTTTAAGTGTTCAAAATTTTCATCTATTCATTGGCCACAATCACTTAACGGTCTTTAATAGAAATTCAAGCATGACAGCTAAAGTCTCGCACCCAAAATCGCGTGCCAATGTGGTGAATTTTATTTGGATTATTTTTAAATATTGTCTCAGGTGCACACAAGTAGCCTGTAGGCTGTCGGGTGTACGTATTTACATATGTACGTTTGTATTTCCAAGCGTTTTTTTTTGCACGTAGGTGTATTTTATAGGTTGGTTTTGTAAATGCTTTTCATACTATGTTCGCGCATGCGTGTATACGCGTTTGCTGTTTAGAATATACTGAGCCCACGGCAGCTGCGCGCCACGTTATAAAAACTTCCAACAACACACCGCCAAAGAATTCCGATTATTCCAGCAAACACAGTCATAAAAAAATCATAACAATAATAAAAAATGAAAATAATAACATATCATTACATACAGATATACACTTATATTTATAACTTTCATACATACATACACAGGTAGTACTATGCTGGTGAATTCAAATTAAATCGAAATACATTTCGAAACTTTTGTAAACAGCTTAAAAACTTGCTGCGTATTAAAACCAGTCCTCCTCGTCAGTCATCCGTTTGTCCGTCCACCTGTTTGCTGTTCTGTCATTGCACTGAAAGTAAATGTTCTTAAGCAGTAATAATCGATGCTGCGTCATCGACATCGCCGCTAGGTTGACACTTCATTGTGCTCGAATATAGTATAGCTTACACGGTTTAATGTGAGATCGAGTCTGGGAGGAGGAAAGTTTAATGAATTATTAAACTCGTGATTTTATTTTCGATATGAGGACGATAGCATCCTCCACTTGTAGCCAAGCCACACACCATAATATGAGAAAACTTGTACCTAAGATTCACACCAGTTGCAGAAAGAACCGCTGTTAAATATAATATATCTGCACATAGGATAAAAAATTATTATCCTTTATCCTGCTTTCATAAGAAACTTTAGACAATAAAAAAAATATATTGTGTTAACGGTTAGCAAATAAAAATATCAAAAATTTTGCTGCTTTACTGGAGAGACTTCGAAATGCCTACACTTTTCAGTAAATGTTTATGTATATATATAATGATTTTTATGTATGCCTTAAAATCTAAAGTGAGTGGTACAGCTCGGCCCTATGTGAGAATTATAATCTGTACTCGTATTTTATAAGAAATTCTGGTATAACTTTAGGGAGTGCCCGACTGTGATGCTGCTTTTTTCTTTATCATTCGCTAAGCAAGCGAAATAAAAATTTGAAATATTTAAACTTCTACTCAGATTGCTACACCCTGTATTTTGTGCATTAAAATTTATATCAAAAATTTACTTACATACGAGTACATACATATACAGCTCACATTCTAGTTACTTATATCCCCAGTTGTTTGTCGAACGGGTTTATTTTATTCACTTCTGAGGCCACAATGTCCCCACCAATCGATTTGGCTTATAGCCAGTGACAGTGGAAGTGGAGAGTGTTATGCTGCAGCGAAATAGGTGTGCGTGCACGCATGCGTAAACGAGCTTGAAACCACACAGAGAAATGTTCGTCATGCTTTTATTGGCGAAAATGATTATATATGATAAATTAATTTCTAATTATTTTTGAGTAACAAACCAAAATTTTGTTGTCAATACATAAAGCTTTATTATGCTTTTACATCATGTCTATAGTACCTTTCTAAGAGTCTGGTAGCGTTTATTGCTTTTATTCTCTTGAGTCTCTATAATTTGAAAGCAGATTTAAAATAATATACAGTTAAATCACATGAAATTATTATAATAAATTTCACATTTTTTATTTTTTTCAACATCTGTTAGACCCCCGATTTTTAATGTTATGAATCAACTGTATGGCGGTAGGATGACTCCTACTTTCTCATTACATAAAATTATTTAATTTCTCAATATAACTATGTATATAACTCTGATTGGCTAAGTACGAAAAATTTATATTTCTTAAAAAAAAGACTACATCACATGATATTATAATGTTTTATCACATCAAAAGATGTCTACGATATTACATCAAATCAGACGCTGTTACATGACATCATATGATTTCGCATCAAAATATCACTCAATAGAGGATATGTGGTAATTTCACATCACATGATCATACATCACATCATGTGATGCGATATCTCACCACCCTTTAGAAAATCACATTATTTTATATCTTACCGATTCGCATTATAATATTACAATATTACCAGCATATATAATTCATGTACCTTTGACTTCATCACATCGACACAAAGTCATAAAGTCATAATCACATCATCTTATTGAGCTACTATCACACAATGATAGTTTATTATTATATTTAGATTACTTAGAGTAATCTAATCTGTTCCACTGATATATCATATTATTACAATTGCATTGTTTGATCTGCCATCACATCATATCATCTTTTCATTCGCATTTCGTGTGTACTCTTTAACTGTTGAAAATGCTTTTGAATTGTAGTTGTTGCCGTAACTAAACCGTAAAACCCCCCATAAACAATCATGTATAATAGTTTAAATTATTTTAGTACAAACTTAAGTATGTATATATGTATATGTATACTCAAGCAAACACCTCCACTTCATTTGTACATGTGCAGTGATTTAATAAAAATAATTACAGGTAGTTAATCACTAACCCAAACATACACTATGCTCCAAAAAATAATTATTTTAAAATTTCTTTAATTTTTGCAAAAAAAGTTGGGTTTTATTCAACATGAAGTTTATTCCATAGTATGATTCTTATTTTTAAATATTATATATTATAAAAGTCATATTATTATATTATAAAAGTTTGCCACGAAGTTATTACCCAGAAAGGTTTGTATATACATAAATGATCAGCGTGACGAACTGGGTTGAAATAGTCATGTTCCTTTGAATATCCGTCTGTCTATATATGTCTTCAGGTTTTGAGATATCGTTCCGAAAATTTCCACACGTCCTTTGCACACCACTATAGTATATATCAAAATAAAGTTCTTGTATGGAAAACTCTTTAATTTTTAAAGATATCTTTACGAAATTTGGCATAGACTATTTAGCTAGACAACGCTATAATTTCGGAACATATTGTTCAGATCGGATCACTATAGCGTATAGCTGCCATACAAAATTGCTTATTAAAATTAATGTATTGGATATTCATAAAAGATATTTTAAGGATTGTTTTTATCAAATATGGTGGCTAAAAAGAACTAACAAACTAGCAGTTGAAGTTAGCGTTTTTTCTTGCCCCCTCACGAAAATTCATTATTCATTGCTTCATTAAAGTTATGCCTCAAAGTTTTACCACGTGGTATACATAAGGTGCGCGACAAAATGATAAGGTCCCTTCGTAGTTAGTATAGTATAAGCAAACGGATATTAATAGAAAATGGTAACCATATTAAAAAAAAATTAATATCTAAATGGGAGTGAAAAAGCTGCTTTGCGACGTAGAAAGATACCGTTAGATTTACCAAAAAGTGCGTATATTTAAATAAGTGCACAATACATTGCGACAAAATGATAAGGCCATTCTTTAAAAAGCTGTTAATTAGTGCGCACGACGTTAGTTTCGATACAGAAAGCTTTTGTATTTAAATTTAGAGATTTATAGAGAAAATTACAGAAACAGTACAGGTTGCTCAAGGATTCTAACTACGCGTGAAACCTGTGTTATTTCACGAATGGTATCGAACTCTATAAAAAGTGCGGCAATTAAGAAAGATCTTAGTCTACAGTCTTCCATTAGGACAATTCTGAGATCTATCAATGCTCAACCACACATTGCACGATCTAAAAAAAGTGTCGTATTTAACTGAAGCACACAAGTTAAAGCGTAAGGAGTTTGCTTAAAAAGAATATGAAGACCAATTGGCATCAGATAAACAATTTAAAATTTCTTTTTTTAACCAGATAACGCAGCAATTCATGTAAGAGAACTTATGGCGAGTGCTGGTACGCCAGGTGTATCCCGAAAATAAATAGTACGGATCAGTTAAAGAGCTAAATGTGACAATTTGCAACATTTGCCGACAAATTCGCTCAGACGTTCTGCAAAACCTTATAAATTCCATGGAAATTGCATAAATTATTAATAACTTAAAAATGTTACAATTGAAATAAAAATTTCGTTACCAAAATTACTGACCTCATCATTTTGTCGCAATGTAGTGTGCACTTATTTAAATAAACGCACTTTTTGGTAAATCTAACGATATACTTCCACGTCCCCAAGCGGTTTTTTCCCCTCTCATTTAGATATAGAATTTTTGTAATATGGTTACCATTTTCTAGGAATTTCCGTTTGCTTATACTGTACTAACTACGAAGTGACCTTATCATTTTGTCGCGCACCTTATACACATACTTATCAATTTCACATGATCTGCAACAGATTGCTAATAACTACTTCTCGTTCAAAATTTTATATACATATAATTTTTTTAATTGCGCATATCTTAAATCAATTTAATACCGAGCAATTAAGCGCTAACACATTCCACCGTCTTTTTTTGTTTGTATGTAAATAATACACTGTGTTTATTTATAAACAAATGTTGCGCAACTTAACTGTTTATTAACAAAAGTGAAACAATAATTATTTAACAATTACTCATACTCATACTTATATTCATGCTCATTCGCATTAACGACAATTAAACGCCTCAAATGGTTCAACACAATCGATTGTGTAATTTATCGATAGACATTTGTTGCAACACTTAAAGGCAAAGCTTCTCACATTCCTCTTTGTTGTCGAAGCGATTGTCATTACCCTGGCAGCCACCATAGATGAAGTCCTCACAGGCCTTCGACTCGCTATTGTAGAAAACCTTCGGATCGGATTTGCGGCATGGACCAACTTCTTTGGGCTGCGAACAAGCTGTGCACGAATAGAATAGATATAGAGACATGTTTAGGTTGAAAGTGAAAGGTATTAAAAAGTGAAATGTAAATTTAATTAGTTGCCGATTTTCTTCTTCTATCTACTCACCCGACTTGTCAACGGCTTGTACGCTGGCGCACAACAACAAAGCGATCATAGCGAATACAAAAATTGTGCATTTCATCGTGCTGTTGATTATTTGTTTTGTCTAAAAGCTGGAGTTAATTAATTGTTGTTAATGCGTTGACAGACGCTTTGCTACTGAATGCCAGTAGGCCCTCGAAATCAATGCTTATATACAAGTTGAGGGCGCTGTTGAGCCATAATGCGGCCAAGTTACCTGTATTAAAGCTTAATATACTTATATACAAGTATGTATATGTGAGTGTGTGTAAAAATAAATTCTATAAGTGTGAAGCAAGGCAATGTAAAGTCAACGTTGCAATTTGCAAATACTCGCGGTGCAGTGTTGTTGTAGTTGTATTGATAAGTGAATCCCAGCCTTCAGCTGATTTTGCAATTAACGCCTGCACTCACACACACACACACCTACCGCGAAGCACACTGCGCTCGGCGCGCTTTAGTACGTTTGTTTGATTCGAAAACTTGACCTACGGTCAACACCGGCTCCGGCTTATGCTAAACAGAAAGGAAATAATAAACAATAATATACACATGTATATATGCATGTGTGTGTGTGTGTGTCTCTGAGTGTATATGTGTTCATAATTGATGCCCAAATTAGAATAATAAATATGAGAATTTTCGCAGCAGACTTTGATAAGGCAACTTCAAGCTTAATTAACACATAAATTAATAAAAATCGGGCAGAGGCGTAAGAAAAAGAAGAACTAAAAGAAAAACAAAAACATTTGGTCACACACTTTGTTTTACCACACAGTTTAAAAGTGTTTATTTTTGTTGGTGAAAATCGAACTAAACCCAAAGTCGATATGTAATGTTTTGTTTATTTTTTTTTGTAGTTTTGCAACAACAAAAATGCATACAAAAAAATTAAACTTGTTTCGGTGAAGCCTTTTGCACACAATTGCCGTTTTCCGCTTCTCTTTGTGGACTGTTGTAATTTCGTCGTTGCGTAAAGGATAAGTGCATCCTACATTATGCATGCATGCATTATGTATATATGCGTAGGTGTATTACTATATTGCATAATACATGAGTGGAAGAGTAACTTCAAATTGCCTTATTTCTTTTATATGGATAAAACATGCGTGCCATTTACGCATGCGCATTTTTATACCCTGAACAGGATATATCATGTATTCTCATTTGTCGAAACGGCCGATATCGGCCCGCTATATCATACAGCTGTCATGCTAACTGAACGATCGGAATCAAGTATTGTATGGAAAGCTTTTTCATTTGACGAGATATCTTTATGAAATTTAGCATGTATTATTGTATAAGGCAACGGTATAATATCCGAATGAATTGTTAAGTACTACTATAGCATATAGCTGTCATACAAATTTAGCGATCAAAATCATGGTATGGGTTGCTGGAGGGGTTTATAGCTTCGGTGCACCCGAAGTTAACGTTTTTTCTAATTTATTACTATTTTAACCGGTGCAGCCGCAAAAACGTTGGAAAAACCTAATGAATGAGGAAAAGAAAGATAATGGATTAATATATGAGGGACATCCCAGAAACTTCCGACTTGAAAATGAAGTCTTGAACTGGCAGTAACTTTTAATAATAGTCTTCTCAACCTATACACATCTAGCAACAATAATCAATTGTTTCGACACCTTTTGCAGAGTATGAACTGTCAAGATCTTCTCTTAATAACGAGTACTATTTTAAAATTAGAAAAATTATTTTTAGTCAAAACCGAGACATTCTATAATTGGTGTTACATACTTCTTAAAATTATCGAAAAGGTTATATTAACAGATTATCGTAACCTATAACACTGTTGTACGTTCTCAACCTTTCGATATAAATCGAAATATCAAGTTGTTCGAGTAATCGACTGAGATTTTTCAAGCATTTTTTTAAATTAGTGAGTAAAACTCTATTAATTTCTTAACAGACTAATGATCTCTTGATCTAAGCATGCCACTGGCTTTACTCTTCTAAACAGACCTCACTGACGTGATGTATTTAGATACAGTACTTAATTTTGGCAATCACTCTTGGTTTGAATATTAGATTCGGAGTCATATCGAACAATGGCATGCAATGAAATAATAGTGCTAAATTATTGGGTCTGCCTGGAATATATGCTAAAACGATAAAGCTGCAACTGCCTTTCCTTTTTTGAAACACGCATAACTTAGTGAAAGCTTAGGCAGTTGTCAATATTTCAAAAATTTATCAGTTCTTCTTAAAATTACTTGAAATGTTAATGTTTGGAACAATAATTTTGGAAATACAGATTACGACAGTATCCTCCTAGATTAAGCAAATTTTATGATTCTAATGATCAACTCTAACCGTTGTTATATACTTTAATTTCTGTTATAGTTTAAAATAAATGCGCTCCTTGACTTGAATAAGTAGCAAATATCAATTTTACTAATGAACCATATCTCCGACGAACTGTTCATTACTGGTTTCTAAACTATTGTTATATAAAGTCACAATTATAGTTTATCTCTAACTACCATAAAAATATGTTTTTATATTGAGAATACCATAATTTATGCCTCACATAATCGTAAATAACACATATTATTTCGATTTACTTGTTCTAGACATCCATTAAATAGATGAACAGTTTACAAATGATATTAGTTTGAAAAACGTTGATAATAAGCTGTCATACCTCGAAAGGCTGGAGCAATTGCCGTACTATTTGGGCTTCATTGTAGGATAAGTTTGCTAGAACCATCCATAGTAAAATGCAAAAGCTTAAACAAATGTTTTCAAGGTATTTATTACTCTACTATTATGTTGTAATGAATATTATACGCGTATATATGTATTTGATATTTTTACTACTATATATCAGTATAAAACTAAACATATTTATTAATAAACTTTATATAACAACCATTTGAAAACTCTACGACTCTTATAACCGCGCTTAAAATGTTTAAAGATTTATTGAAAATTTTTTGGTGAAACCTTCGCGTTCTTACTTTTTTACGCGCTCGGAGTTGCTTACACTTAAATCGCAAAAATTATCAGCGTAAAAATAGTTTTGTTACTTTGCTATTTTAATTATTGTGTTAATTTAAATGTTAAACAAGTTGCGGAAGGGTAGAACACACTGCCTTACTTTACAACACTCACTTGTTCTATTTCGAACTTTAAAGAAAGCTAAGTAATGTGTTAGAAACCGGTTAGTTGCAAACCATTTAATAGCCCTTTTTTATTACCGGATTACCGTTTTAAAGCTAATTAGTTAATTGCTATTTAAAAGTTGGGATAGGTTAGCTTACGTGATTAGGCTGTTATTCGTGAAGCCACAAATGAGCCTACTTGGACAGCTAGAAAGGCTGGTCCCTTGTGATGCCCAGAACTACTAACTAATGCATTCCAAACCGGTTAATAGTAAATAATTTAAGCCCTTTTTATTTTTTGATCATATTTTTAATTAGTTGATTGCTATTGGAAACTTGGGGTAGGTTAGGTTAGATCTTCAGGCTGATATTCGTAAAGCCACGGTCCGTTTTGATGCCAAAAACTCTAAATATGGAGCAAAAATACCGTCGTTTATCGATAAGGCGTTTTATGCCTGCCACATTATCAATTTCAGCCAATTCACCTGGTGCTTAGAAGGTATGACTACCGAGATGCATGAACCTTCGTTTAGCGCAAGCTGTACAGTGAAGGAGAATGTGTCTAGTTTTTTCCACCTCATATAACTCCATGCAATTTCGTAATTTAATCTTCAAAACCTTCATCCTCAGCGCATTAAAACCAATATGACTGTGAGGTCTGCCGGCTTCCGATATAACTTCGTTATCGAAGTCGGCTCGATTTTTTTCTTATTTGTAAATTTTGCAACATTCGAATGTGATTGGAGAATTTACACTTTCTCGATTGGAAAGATAAGAAGCCGCTCTGTTTCAGAATACTATGTTTCTCTATTATTTCTAGGGATTCTCTAAAATTAAAGCTTAAAGTGTAGATACATTTTCTAGTCGATAACATATTATTTTTGATCGAAAATTTTTGACATCGAACATTGGTCTCCTAAATGTGAAAATAGAACTGCCAATTAAGAATTCAGTACGTTTTAGAAATTGAATCGCGTTTTGAGAATCCATTGAGTTTTGTAAAGAAAATTAAACAAGTAATGCAAACATGTATAATATATAATACATATAAAATAAATATTATCACCCTTGAAATACTCACGGGAGTATCTAAAACAACTGTTCGACAAGCCTAGTATGAAGTTTTGCTGAGAAGTATAATCTATACAAAAACAGAATAATTAACAGTTTACTAATTACAAGCAAATATTTATTGCTTTAAAAAGTTTTCGATAAATACATTTATGCATGATAATTTAAACAAATTGGTGAATTAACTAGTGAAACGTTTGGGTTGAGTTAATCAAAAGTACTTAATGAGTTATTAACATATTACAAAGTAAATTTGAACTAATTGTAGTTATACTTGTTGGCGAATCCGAGCTAAACGAAGTATAATTTTGTGTTTTAATGAGTTAATATTTTAATAAATTAAGTTGGGTTAGGTCTTGATAGGATATGTGGTCCGATGTGCGATGTAAGTACAGACAATTTAAGCCTATACCACTACATTAGTTATGTCTTTCACTATTTGCCGTATAATTAAACGAGAATAGGTGGGGTTCATAATATAAATAATTAATAGGTTAGTTGAAAAACTACTGTTTTTGGTACGAAATATATTTTTTTATTCAACATAAACTCTCTTAACTTCAATACACTTATTCCAATGATCCTCCAATAATTTTATGCCATCCCTATAATAACTTTCCGGAAGCTCTGCAAAATACCCGCTTACGGCTGTAATAGCTTCTTCATTCGACGAAAAATGCTTGCCACGAAGGAATTGTTTCAAGTTTCTGAAGAGGTAGTAGTCGCTGGGAGCCAAACCTGGTGAATACGGTGGATGCTCAAGCAATTCGTATTTTAATACGTTGAATTCTGTCATTGTTAAAACTCTTTTGCGAGCAGGTGCATTGTCTTGATGAAAAATTATTTTTATGTGCTGCAAACCAAGTCTTTTCTCACAAATTTTCTCATCCAGCTGATGCAAAAGGCTGCCATAGTATTCAGAGTTGATTTTTTTTACCCTTCTGCAGACAATCAATCAAAAAAATGTCTTTTGCATCCCAAAAAACTGATGCCATAACCTTCTTTGCTGAACGTTGTGACTTCACCTGCTTTTGAGCTGACAATATTACTAACAATATTATGAACTTGCTCAATGATTTCTGGTGTGGTTGCGGTTTTTGGTTGTCCTTCGCGTGGATCGTCTTCACGCCTAGTACAACCACGTTTAAATTCACCAGCCCAAAATTCAACGGTGCGTTTTGAAGGTGAGTACTCCTTATACACTTCTAACAATTGTTCATAAATTTCCTTTGCTTTTAAACCTTTCAAAACAAATAATCTAATCACTGCGCGATATTCAATTTTTTCCACACTAAAAAATGGCTTGCAAACAAAAAATTAATTGACAGAATGACTTGTAACTTTGCATGTGTACAGATGTACTAACTTGAGACGAAAAAAAAATTGGAGCTAATAGTGCTATTTCTTGGTGAGAGCTTTAGTCTAAATTGGCCTATGGGGTATAAATTGTATTAGGTAATATATTCCACATATATTCTAACTTAGTATATATCGTATGTGTCATTTTCTATATGCCAAATGACTCAGTAGCTTGTTAGATAAAATATATTGTAAAAATTATCAACAAAAATTAGCAGAAGTTAATAGTTCTGGAAATTCCCATTCTAACAATTGTGTTAATTGTAACTGTAAATGCGTTCTCAATATAAAATTTGTACAGATTTGCAATGATCTATAGTTGACTACATGCAGTTATATATTTATCAAGCGCATTGTAATTGACTGCAACTAATTAGCGCCTAATTAAACACAACTATGTATATACGATTGTGTTGATGGACAGCAAAGGCAAAGAGGTGAAACACTTTTACTCTTTAAGGAAAGTTCACACAGCATCCATTTGTGAGGCACTTCAAGAACCACTTCACCTGAGTTGTTATAGTTACTGTATGTTAGTAGCTAGAGAAAGTGAGAGACAATAAATTAATAAGAAAAACGTTCACAGTTGCATTTCTTACAGCATAAAATAGCATTAAAATATTTATATTTACTTTTATAGGTCAAATTGCTTGGCAGCTGTACGATATAGTGGTATAATTTGCACAATAAGTTCGGAGTTTGTAGCCCTGAGTTAGAGCATAATCTATGCTAAATTTCGTGAAGATATCTTGTCAAGTGAAAATTTGTCCATACAAGAACTTGCTTGAGGTCAGTCAGTTTGTATTTCATATATTTCATATGCTATAGTTGTTCACAAATAATTTTTCTGGGAAGCGGTAGAAGAGGAAGTGCATATTGATGCTCATGTTAGATCTTAGTCTCTGGAATTGCAGCATGAGCTGTAGTTTGGAGACTTTTTATTTCCTAAGAAATTTCGCACAACCCAAATAAATTCAAACCATGCAGATTTATCCTTATCTGTTAAACAATTAGCAAACTGTCGCTCCTTTATTAGTTCCCTAATTTGAGGACCGGCAAAAATACCAGCTTTAATTTGTTCTGTGCTCAGTTTCGGAAATATATTACTGATAGTACCAGTATCACTTAAACTAGGGCTGTTAGTAGGAACCTGAAGGTAGATTTGAAATCAGCGACGTCAAATTAGTATAAAAATTTCAACCAAAAAAACAATTTAGAAACTTCATAAAACATAAAAAGTTTAATTTTGTTTACCAGTGTAAGTAATTTTTATATTTCTTCGAAATAATAAATCAGTAAATTAATCGCTGGTCTCAGTTATGCCCTGTACAGTAAACCATAATTTCTTACCACTAACCAAATTCTTTAGAACAACAACAACAGGTCGTACTTAGTGTCACATACAACGGCTTTAAAGCATCATTTTTGCTTAAATTGGTTCAAAAAATATATGTACATATTTCTTGATTTATTCGTCGTTGTCCTTGATATCTGCTAAGATAGTCGAAGGTCAAAGTTTTCACCCTAGAATATGGGTTTTATGAGTTTACACTTGTAAGGTGCGTGTTCATCCGAAATAATCCTTTGGGTTTTCATAAAACATCTAAATTGCAGTGTAAATTATCGCAGAACATAGGTTAGGTTTACTAGAAAACCCGTAAGAGACCATTTTATAGAGCATTGAATTTACTACGAAATCCACAAAACGAAATATGTTTTCAAGTTGTTGGAAGAGGGATATGAAAAAAAATGGAAATCCGTTAGGCGGAGGACCTTCCCGTTACAAATAAGAGCTGATACTTGAAGAGTCTTTCTTAGAGGTATCTATCAACAAATTTTTCAGAGTATGAAGCAAAAAAAAAAGCATTTGTTTTTTTGATCCACCTAATATACATACTAACTATTTCTAAATTAAATAATAGTTTTGTTTTGTAAAATAGTTTAAACATAATAAATAATTTTGTTTCTCTTATTTAATACATTTTAGATGAATGATGATGATGCATTAGAAAAGAACCACATGCTCTTTATACTTAAATATCTGTTTTTGATGACAGCATTCTTCTTTTTTCGATCTGTGATCTTATCACTATGTTTAACCTAGTTGGTCAAGCCTTTCTTCTCAGTTGTGGTGGCTCCATCAATACTTACATTCTTGAAAAAAGAGCGTGAAATCTCAATAAATCTGAGAGTAAATGCTTACTGATTCGAGTAGTACTAAGACAACAACTAAGAAGCTTAAAATGTGAAAAGAAGAAATCTGAAGATATTGTATACTATAGATAACAACTGCTTATGTTGAGTGCTCAGATAAAAAGCATTAAACGATTTAATTTATGTTCAAAATATATTTATTTAAAAATATATACTAATATTATGAACAATAAATAAATAAAGTATTAATTCTGCATAAATAACTTTTGTTTTATTTTTTATAATATTTTTGAGTAGTAACATACTCGTTATTTTAGTTAATTTTGGTTATTTGCATAAATTTCAAAATAAAATGAAATTTTTTTCTGGTCACCCTTGGCTGGTTGAGGTGATCGCCGTCAATGCTACAATTTCACGATTTCCACCAGGCGCTCAGAAATGCCAGCAAGCAACCAACTAAATTTAGCCGAGGCGCCAACCACAATGATCGCATGTACAGTACAAACAGAAAATGTGAAAATCTCAGACAACAACCACTGTGACGAGCATATGTACAGTACGCAGTGAAAATTGGTACGGTATGCAAACAGAGAATGTTAATGAATAACATACTTTAGAAAGAGAATATTTATTAATATTTATTAATTATTATTTATTAATATTCTCTGCAATAACATTCTCTGGTGTAATGTTGAGTAACAAGTAAATAATATTTTTTATATCAAAATAAATACCTACCAAGAGTAAAAAAGTAAAAAGCAAACACTAATTACTTAAAAATAATTATTATTCGTAATATTTAAAATAATATTAAAATATAAATATGCATATGTTTGTGTGCGTATCAAATTAAAAGCATTTTTAGAACTCTGAATGATTCCTTTATTATTTCATAGCTACTAAAAATGGCGTTTAGGCATGCTACAACATTTAATAGCGCATTATTGGCATATTATCGCGTCGACATTCCTCGAAGGTGAGAAAATGTTTCGTCATTGTATTTGTAGCACAGCCGCTGGTATAGAGGCTCACACAATTTCCGGTGGCGGCATTGTAGGCGTAACGGAGCAGCTTATTGTCGCAGAGCAAAGGCATCGGTGGTAATTTACAGGCGGGAACTGTAAGCAGAGAATCAGAGATATACTATGTACCTATAACAAGTTTCGGCGGATTTGGTCCAGCAGTTTTAATCTAATTGAAATTGTAATGATTAAAGAATTATGTAAATAATCTTTATAATCATTTATGTTAGTATGGGTAATAAAATTTTTGAAATCAATTGGGAATCGCAACGATACCAAATTTGTGTCCGGTCAAAGAATTGTTCATAAAACTATTTGGGGAACTTTTTTTAAACTTATGCAACTTCTATATACTTGTGTTAGGTTATGATATAACTAATTAAACAAGGGAAAAAAACCATGGTCTTTTATTTTTGAAATCCCGGCCTGTTCCGACAGATTTTGCTTACGAAAATCGACATATTAACAAAATTTGGTTATATATCTAAAAAATTTGGTGTCGGTAACAAGGCATTTGGACCAATACATACACCAGAAGGACATGATTTTACTGAGGCATCCCAACTTTCTGATATTAATACTCAACAATCGCTCCATATTTCTAATACAAATTAGTTTAGGGCGTAATAAAAATAATATATAATAAAATAAATAAATAAAAATAAAAATGTCTGTTGACTTAAAAAACAAACTTTATAATTATAACTCTTTAATCAACATTTTATACTGAGTATACAAAGCGTGGTTCATGTAGTGTTTTTTAATATTAAGTGGGTTTTACTGACCCGGCCTCCAAACCGGTTCGGCTGGGTCTAAACGCACAAAAGACTTTACGCGAAACTTTAAATGCGTTTTTCTCAGACCAAACTTTTTCCATACGATACCGACGATTTCTCGAGTTCGACTGTACCGATTTACTTGAAATTTTTAGATAATCTTCCTTATAGAACTCTCTCGAGTATGAACTAGCTTCATCCCCAAATTTCTATTTACTATTTTAAAAAAATACGAGCAAATAAGAAAAAATCGGTTTTTTTCCAAACAGTCGCCATTTTTACTTATCACTAGTTCATACAATTGCGACATCATTGTAGATTGATTTTTTCATTTCAGCTGCCTAGGAGGGTTGAAATCATTGGTATGCTCATGTGCTAATTTTTTGAGAAACCCCATTACATTAGCTGCCAGTATTTAAAATTTTTAACTGTTCTTTTAATTTTTTTCTGTACTCATAATAAAAATATTGAATGCCTTTTTTTACGACACTTTAAAAATGACCTAAAATTCATGTCTCTAGACTAGAATACCCCCCTAAATAACAAATGGACATAAGAATTTCGTACAGTTACTTAGTTCATTTATTTAATGAAAACGGTTTCGATGCCAATTTCGGTAGAAAGTAAGCACTACGAAGGCAGTTTCTTATATTTTAGAAAACCATAACAGGTAGAGATGACGTGCCAATATCTGGTATTAGCAAGAAGCGCACCATGACACATTTTTATGTCTACACAAAAAAATTTTACCTCACTGAAATGCGATTCGCTACAGTATGGCTTATTTTGTGGGATTCAGGATAAATTAGATTGACCGTCACCAAGTTTTGAGGATAGGGGTTAAGTAACGCGCTACTGTGCGACGCTCACTCTGATTTTTTTTCTAATAGAGACCGATATTGAAATGAAAACAACACATTTTGCAGTTTTTTGAATTTGTCTTTCAATATAAGCACCATATGGATCACCTTATATATCGAGATATTTATATTTACACATTTTGCCATTTAACTGCGTTTTAAATGTGCTTTTCATAATTATATATCTGAATGTATTAATTGTTGACCCACAAAAGTGATAATTATTAGCGAAATAAAAATATAAAAAAGAAATTTTCGAAAAAATATACATATTTTCTTTATAAACATTACTACATACCGGATCGGTTGACGGCGAGACTATTATCAGCACAGATTCTTTGTGTTGCGTAGACGAGCAAAAGCAGGATGACAATCACGCTCCGTAACGGTAACAAGTGAAATCGTTCAAAATGCAGCATGTTGTTGTAATGAAGCTCTTGCTGTGGTATTTTGCTGCTTATGCAAATATTTCACATAAATCACAAGGGTGATAACTTCAAGTTCACTAATTAAGGACACTTTATGAATAGAACAGATCGGTTACGGCGCGCGTTCGAGTACGAATTCAGGTTTTATATTTGAAACATTCTTTCAACGTTTCTCTGCAACTGCACACGCTGCTGTTGACTTTTCGCAATTTCCAGGGCTTTTAACACTTTCTAGCGCAGAACACAACAGCAGAATGCACACGCTCACTGACGCCTCACGCCGGCAAACGTTTGTATACGCGTTTCTTCGTGTTGTGCAGCAGCTGTGACAATAAATTGCAATTATGTTTATTAAAATAATTCTTTAGCTGAAGTTCAACTTTTCAGACAATTTCTTTATGAATTTTCCTTTTAAATTTTTCTCATTTTATTTTTATGTTTCTGTTGACTTTCTTTTTATTTTTTAACACGAAATGAATTATTCTAATTGAAAAATGAGTAATGCAGATTGTGCATTTTCTGCGGCATATCTATATATGTTGTTGTTGCTTTTGCGGTTTTTGTTTGCAGATTTTTTGTTACGCTTTGTTTTTACTATATATTTAATTATGTTGAGTGACAAGCGGCACACGACAAACGAACGCTGCGAAAACTCCAAAAAGTACAATTTTCTGTTTCGAGTTGTTTACTGCGATCGCACGTATGGCAAATGGGGAGGAAACATGGCGTTGATAACTCAGCAGATATTTGTTTTAAAGAAGTTCGTTTTTCGCTTTGCGGAACTACATTGGCCACGTAACTGTGTTGGTTGAAACTGTAGGGCGCACCTTAACCACGCGCTATTGTTGTTAGCATGCGTCGCACAGTGGGTTATTTTACAAATACATATGTGCTTTATTGTAAAGTTTATATTTAAAAAAAATAAAAAATATACATATATATTAAAAAAATGGTTAAAAAATAAAATAGTAAAATAAATAAAAATAGTTATATAATAAAATAAAATAAAAATTCACTAATTTAATTACATTATTAAAATTAATTATATTTTTTGATAGAAATATGATTTATAATTTTTTTTTTACTTACTATTATAGATTTGTTGTATTTTTATTTCTTTTACTGCTCTTATTTTGCACTTTTAAAACCTTTCTGATCTGAAAGTGAATCCTAAACTAAAAAATATATACTAAATGTTATAAAAATATACAGCGAGTTTGGGCAAAAGTAAAATTTAATTTTTAAATTATTTAAAAATTTTTGTCTTTACATATCATAACCTTCAACATTTTTAAATTATGTGAGTTTTGATTTTAATTATTCGTATTGTAATTAATAAAATAATATAATATGTAAAAAAATTATAAATAATTTAAAAATTAAATTTTACACTTGCTCAAACTAGCTATATATTTTATATTTTCGTGATATTTGATATTTTTTAGGTTAGAATTCACTTTTTCAGTTCCGAATAGTTTTCGAAGACTTTCACATTATGTCAATTTTCAATTGGAAAGGCAATTAATATTAGATACTGTTCTAAATTATGTTTATTAAAAAAACAGGTTTACTTATCAAATTTACCAATAAATCCGACTTCAAAAATATTTCTAATTAAAATAGTTCGTTGCTATAAGAAAATATTTAAAAAAAATAATATCTAGTAGCAATTACTAAGTTATGCAAATTAAAATGTTTATAATTGAAATTGTCAGGTAGTTAAAACTTTGAGATTATAAAATTTTATTAATTAAAATGTTGCCATCAAAACGCAAAATTAATTAAAAAATTAAATTTAAAATTTTTTATATTTTTTATTGGTATTATGCATACGTACACGGTTTGACGTGCTCAAAAGAAAACAAAAAAAAAGCAGTTAGGCCTAGATTCCAGAACGTCTTGTAATTGTTATTATAGCAAAGAAAATATTTCTCACATATTATTCTACAATTCTGTTAAAGTGAAGCACTTGGCGAGATGTAAATTCTGATTTCTGTTGTGGTTACGTTGACACGACTGGCGACTTTAATTTCGGTCTAGAACTGTTACTTTAGCGAAATTTATTAAAATGGTCTAGCAATGTATATTGCCGTTCTAACGACTTTTTATCAACCTATAAATTAAATAATAAGAATTAAAAGGTGAAAATATTAGAAAATAGTTCTACTTTGAGTTTAAAATTCCTTTTTCAAATTTGCGTTTAAAAGACTGCTTTGCACAAACGCTTAAAGAAAACCGCCGCATTCATAGTTGTTCATCATTTTATTCATATACATACATACATAAATTTACAATATATATAATAGATATATTTAGGTATTTAGCTTTAAATTTTAAAGTTAGTAACTAACAATTATTGTTGTTGTTGATATTTAAATGTTTTTGCTTTACAAATCATGCAATGGCATATAATAAAAAATAACAAAAGGCACTTAATTGTTGTATTCTATTAATTTCTATATGTTTGCATTTGCATCTACACTTGTGTGGCAAACAATCGCTTCACTCACAATCCACAAGTTCAAGGTTATAAAACTAAAACTAAGTAGTAGGTATGTATGTTTTGTTTATATTAGTTTGTATTATGCTATAAGTCCCACGAATTTGCAAGAATATGTGGTATATGTTCAAATGTATAAAAATGTATCATATACATACATGCATATGTTGACATAATTTGCGAAAAAAACATACATATACATAGCGGCATAAATTTTCTCACGCTAATTTATATACGTATATATTTTTCAAACATTACAATAAAATTAATTTTTTCCCAAAGTTTTATATAACTAATATTAAAGCAAAGAGTTCGTTGATAATTATATACAGTTATGTATACCAAAATATGTATGTATGTAAGCTTTTATATAAATATTAAAAACATGAAACCAATATACAAATAATTTTAAGCAAATTAAAAGAAAATGCAACAAAATTAATATGTATTCGCTCCTTTTGCTTGAAGCAATACATACGTATATTTGTATGCAGTAAAAGATTTAAATATAATTTCAATAAAAAATAATTAATTAAAATTAATATAAATTCTTTGCCAGTACACACTAAAAATATATAATATATTTATAAGTTTACGTAAATTAATTATTTTAACAATACATGTAGTACTATATGTATGTGTATATATGCAAAATTATGCAGTTACATAATCATATGCGCGCTCTTAACAGTGTAGTAAATAGAAAATAGCAAAATATTTTTTTTACGAATATTTTTTTCTTTCTCTTTTTAATATAACAGCCAAAAGTATTATGTACGTGTGTGTATGTGCATTTTGACCTTAGTTTTGTAATATTATTGTTACATGTTGTTTTTTTTCGATTCTCCCACTTGTAGAACTTCCACTTAAAAGTCTTTATCCCAACCGGTTAAGTCATCTGGCGGTGGACCCTCTGGATCTGGTGGATAGGCATCGAAATTGGTGGTGTCTATGACGCTCTTAACGGTCGGCTTGATTGGCGGTTCGAGTGTACGATTTTGCAAACCCAACCAGTAAAAACCGTCGAACCATCTGTAAGCGTGAAAAGTATTAATTATTAAGAAAAAATAAAAAAAAACATATATATTTACAACTGCAGTGCTTGTAAGCGTGAAAAATTACTAATTTCTATTGAATGTGATGATGATATGTTGTGTTGCATACGTACCTTTTAACCTTAAAACACTATTTTAAATAGTTGCTCATCCATAGTGAATAAAAAAATTCATTTTTTTTATTTCGAAAGCATTTTTAAAAAGTGAAAATATTTTTTAGCAAATTACACAAGATTTTTTTTAGAATAATTAATTGAAGATGTGTATTTTATATTTTATATAAATTTAATTTTTCATAAAATTGTATGAATGTAGTATGTATGTATATAATAATACGGAAATATAATGCCGATGACTTAAGGGGTTACATGGGTTTCACGGCTTCAAAAAAAAAAAATTCTATATCTCTTAAATTATCAAGTTGATATCATTAATAGTTTTGGGGATAAAGTTTTGAAAAGTTGCGCGCTCGAGTTCAGCTATGTAGTCGCTTCAAACTTTCAACGCGTTTTTCTCGAAACTGTGTTTTCAAAGTCGGTTGTCAAGATTTCTCACGAACTACTCAACCGATCTTAATGAAATTTTACACAGGTCTTTGAGATGCAATTTACATGGCCTTGCTGTGGGGGTTTTTGTTTTGTTCAATTACAACTATTTAAAAAACAAAAAAGTCTAGAAATTTTTACCAAAATTTGCATCTTTTTGTAAAAACGTCTGCCAAAAATACAATTTTCACTTTATTTGTTTTTTTTCCGTCTCCGTACCTTGTTGATGGTCTTAGTTAAAACACGTATTTTTTCTTTTTACTTTTGATGATCCTGTCAGAAATTTTGCCGAGTTTTGAATATTTTCATTTGAAAATTTCACAAAATCTTTGTTTAAATAAAATATTTCATTTTCTATATTAAAAAAAAAATTATTGAAAATAGGGTGTTTTTTGCTCAACGAAACCCATGTAACCACTTAAAAAGGTATAGGTTAGGTTAGGGCGCTTTATTTATAATTTAGTGAAGTAAATTTGTAATATTCGCGAAAATATTGAACATTTAATTTTCTGCCTAAGAATAATTAATATTCGACAATATTTTTTTAAAATCATAACCTAGTCATATCAGAGACTCAATCATTTCTGAACTGCTTTGTGTTATAATCTTTTACAACTAAGATCCAACTTTATATAGATTTTAGATTTACAGACGTCTGTGGTGCCATATCGCCTCCCCCTAGTAAATCAAATATTTACATTATCTACGAAATAATACGAACTTTAATATATATAAATAATAGACGCCAGTTAGAGTTACACCTTTTGAAGTGTGCTTTTTATTGCTTAGTGATATATCTATAAATGGATATCAATTTATCAATTATATAGATCAAAGAGACCGAAGCAAATTTTGGTTGGTTTCTGGCCGTACTTTGGCCCCTAGAACAATGTAGGAATGAGGAACTTGACATACATATACAGCAATTTTAGAGCATTATTCAGAATTATAATTTTTTAAAACATAATTTTTACTCTGTTGTGACTAGTATTAGAAAAGAATTTCTGTTAGCGCAGATAAGATATTAGTATTTACGTTCAAAATGTGATTGAATTCCAATTTCTGTCATAAAGCTTATTCCACTCAATCTAAATTAAAACCAAGCTGGGGTTCTATGAATAAATAGTGTCTGGGTGTGAGATACAAAAATGCTTATGTTAAAATCAAGTAAAACTTTGGAAAATATTATGTGATCAATGGATATACGTATACTTTTTAGAATAAAATTAGGCAGTGTCTATCAAAATTTTTTAAGTGGGGTTTAGGTGATCCTCTGATGGCATATAGTAATTATTAAAAAAAAAACGATGGTTTTAATTGTGCTCGAAAATGTTATGATAGCCAAATGTTTGCATTGTAATTAATTGTAATGCACTTACCGATGCTTTTGTATTTCGCTAATACCACCGCGTTGATAGCCCAAACGTTCAGCGGGATTATCGCGACACAGTTTCTTGATCAGATTGCTGGCATTGCGTGTTATATCGCGCGGAAACTCGATTGCATCAATACCCTTCAGTATAATATTGTAGGTACGCATGGGATCCGAGCCAGTGAATGGTGGCGTGCCTGTGCAGAAAGTAGAGAACACACATTTAATATAATATAATTATGCTTTGTGCAATAGTATAATTACCCGTCAACAGCTCAAACATTAGCACACCAAGTGACCAGTAGTCGGCGCTAATGTCGTGTCCCCGATTCAATATCACCTCAGGCGCTACGTACTCCGGTGTGCCGCAGAATGTCCAAGTCTTGCGGCCGGATTGTAGTTTCTTGGCAAAACCGAAATCCACCAGCTTCACATAGCCCTTCTCGTCGAGCAACAGATTTTCCGGCTTCAAATCACGA